AAACAACTGCCACAGAGGCGGGACAGGCTCCTACCACCACAGCTGTGCTCACCAGCCGTGAGCCTGGCTTCTGAATGAGCAGAGCTCCCCCTGTGGGATCTGGTTGAAACCAGCTCTCCAAAATCCCCAAAGGGGTCCTGGATTGCGAGAGGGCACAGGCCAGGCCAAGGGACCCCACTGCTGCATGATCAGGGCTGGGAGAGATGCGGGAGGTTGGCCAGCTGAGGAGCGACCGCGCACGTCGGCCCCCAGCGGCAAGCTAACCTACCGGTTGGAGTGTCTGCCCCCTGGTGGCCAGTGCATGTCATAGCGAGCGGTTGAGTGGTGTTAGCATATCATTAGCATATTACGCTTTGGTTGAACGGCCAGTCAACCGGGCACTTAGCATATTAGGCTTTTATTATATAGTAAGGATTTTTGTTCATCTTCACTCAAGGATATTTCTTTCCATTGATTTTTAGAGAGAGTGGAAGAGAGGGGAAAGAGAGAGAAACATCGATGTGAGACACATCAATTGGTTGCCTCCTACACACACCCCAATCAGGGCCGGGGATCCAGCCTGCAACCAAAGTATGTGCCCTTAACCAGGTTTAAACGCCTGACCCTTCATTCTGCAGGCCAATGCTCTAACCACTGAACAAAATTGGCCAGGGCCCCAGGGCCTCAATTTTAGAGTGGAGACCACCCAAAGCAGCTTGCTAGTCTGCCTGCAGCAACTGTCAATCACCACTCCTCATGCAGGGTGGGTCCCAAGAGCCACCGCAGTGGCCACTCCTCCTCGCCCTGCATGCTCACAGAGGGCCCCAGCAGCACTTGGCAGGTGCCCGGCCACAGCGGGTGGATAAAGAAGTCAACGGCTGGTCTCCGGGAAGAGCAATGGGCATGTTCACAACATTCCCTATCCCCACACCTCAGAGGGCTACGCTGGGGAAGAGGAGGACTTGGAACAGCTTTCTAGAAGGCGAGCGCCTAGATGTTTCAATGTTTTGTTCACTGCTAAGTCCAAGTTCCTAATACAGTGCCTGGCAAGGGGCCAGGTCTTCAGATAGTTGTAAAACAAACATGTACGGAATGAATCTGGGGTGAGGTGTAGGTGGCAATAAGCCAGGTGGACCATCTGCAGAGTTCTGTGAGAGGAGAGCCCCCCCTGGGACCAACGGGGGCCACGGTGGACCAGCAGCTCAGGTGGATGTGTCCCTGAGGAAGGCAGCTGCCCCCCAACTACCCAGCTTTCTCCTCCAATCACATCCCACATTTCTGCCATCATCCATTCAAATGCCCTGAGCAGCCGCTTCATGCCAGTAAAACTCTGGGCTGCACAGAACAGGGGAGCTCATATGCTACCAGGGAGGGACTCCGAAGAAGGGAGGAGCAAGGTCACTCCAGGCGATGATTTAGAACAGGGAGGGCAGTGTTTGCTAACTGGCATGCAGAGGGGTGGGGGGGCTTGCCAAGGTGAGGGGGTGACACAGCTGCTGCCATGGGACAGCCAGAGCGAGAGGAACCTCCAGGGATAGCTGCTGGGAGGGCACCCCCTCTCCCCCGCACCCATCTGGGAATTCCTGGGTCTTCTGCCCCTATCCCAGCTACAGACAGGAAAAGCCGGAGGGTTCTCAAATAATAGAACCCCTTTATTGGGGGGACGATCTGTTGGGATCAGGGTTCCAAGGAACAGCCTCAAGCAGCCCACACTGGCCCACGGCTGACAGGCCCGGAACGCGGGATGGCGCTCCGTGGCACTGCCTCAAGGCCACCTGGGAGCAGTGCAGGGCGCCCCAAGGACGAGGCTCTCCAGCCATCACCTCTGTCTCGCTGCAGCCTGTGTCTAATTCTACTGTATCTCGTTGTTTTTATACAGGGGATGAGAAATGGAAAACGAAAGGCCAACAGGGAGGACAGGGCAGGCCTCCCTCTCTCCCCCCAGCCTCACACCGAGCCACAGCCAGGGGAAAAAGCAGGCCTTTTATTATCATTATCATCATTATCATTGATTTTTAGAGAAAAGGACAGATAGAAACATCGATGAGAGAGAAACATCACGGATCGGCTGCCTCCTGCACACCCCCTGCTAGGGATCGAGCCTGCAACCCGGGCATGTGCCCTGACCGGGAATCAAACCAGTGTCCTCTTGGTTCATGGGTGGATGCTCAACCACTGAGCCACACAGGCCAGGCAAAAACTTGCCGTAAACATATCAAAGATCACCCCAGTGGCAGGCGGGGCGGAATGACCGTCAACCAGCTCTGGAAGGAACCCGTGACAGTGTGCGCGCCAGCTCTGGCACCCTGTGCGGGGTGTCTCCTCCCAGGCCTGCAAACCTTCCCATCCAGGGCCAAATAGTAAATAATTTATTTAGGTTTTGCAGGCCAAACTGCCTCTGTCATCAGTATTTCACTCCGCCAACACAGCCCAAAACAGCCACAGCCACAGCCACCACTAGTGGACGGAGCCAAGAGCAGGGCCGACGCGTTAGTGACAGGCAGGAAGGCTGGGATCGGGGACCTTGGGCTGGTGCCCTCCCACACACCCTGCACTGCGCTCTTCGCGGACCTACTCTGCTCCAAGGGCAGGGGTGGGGGGGCTCAGAGGGCATGGCCACCCAGGTCACAGAGCCAGTCACTCCCCTCTCACCCTGGCAAAGGGGAGGCCGACCTGCCACAGGGCTATGCAAGGGCACAGGGCAGGGCTGGCAGTTTCACATCCAACTCCAGAACAAGTGGCCGCTTTGCAGCCATCCAGGCAGCACGACCTGACAGGACGGCAGCCCCACCTTCTCTCCAGGTGGGGGCATTCTTCGTGGATTTAGAATCTTGCACCAGTCACACACATTCTAGTTCTCATGTCAAACATGGATGCGTGCAGCGCACGGCTTTAGTGGGCCGTCTCTCCCTGCCTCTGGCAGGGCCACTTGTCATCACCTGCAGTGTCCCCTTCCATCACCACCTTCTGCACCAGCTCACGCCCAAGTACAGAAGCCTTTGTCCCGGAAGACCTGGATTTTCTAAACAATCTCAGTGTGGCCCCCACTGAGTCCGGAGCCAGTGCAACAGCTCAAACCCGGCTCCACAGGCTGCCGCTCGCCCTGGGAGCAGATTTAATGACCCCCAGCGCCCCTGCAGGAATTGCAGGGACCAGCCCACTGAGCAGGAGTAATTCTCAGCCGGGAGAATTTTTACTGCAGGGCAGAGGACAGGGAAGGGCCACCGTCTGTGCAGTCGGTCTGGCCTCTGCCTCATTTCCTCCAGTCCCGGGCACCGAGACCACCATCACTCACGAGACCACCAGCAATGACAAAGGTAGAACAGGCCCCATGGGGGGCGGGGGGCACGCAGAGCACCTTCCACCGATAGTGGGCTCCTTGAGGGCATCCCCAGGACACAGGCTGGACTTGAGGAAGTCTAGGAGGGGCCCCCAGCCTCTTCTAGGCACCCACAGCTCAGTCCCTGCATCCCAGCACTTGCCCCTCGCGGGCATCACAGAGAGCGCCCTCCCAACCCTCCCCCCTCCCCCCCAGGTAACTGAGTGCCTCTGGCTACGAGGGCTTCACTGCTGGTTTTGAACCTGGGGAAGAAAATCCAGGGCTGTGCCTAGACAAAATATGGCCTCGCTGGTTCCAAGCCCCCTCCCTCCCGCCCTTCCACCCACACCAGGGGCACAGCTTCTGCACCGTTCATCCCAGTTCCGCCTGGCAGTCCCCGTGGTGCCCAGACTGTGGGAGCCGGTCCCGTATTTGCCCTCTGCAGGGACCCCACAGACAACCACTCTCTGCCTCCCTAAGTCTTCCCGCCCCCAGCTGCCTCCTCCCCCTGAATGCTGCACCACCAGTGCTCGCTGCTCTTTCCTGGCTTCCCCTCACATGTGGGTGCTCCCCAAAGGGCCATCACTTCCCTCAGCCCCTTCTTGCCCTCCTCCCTCAGTTGGCCAGGGCCACTGCTTTACCTCGGCACGGGATGGCTTCCCAGAGGCCTCCCCTTCTCCAGTTCAGCTCCTCCCTCCTCCCATCAGTCCCAGACTCCACATCTGACCGTGCAGCTTCTGGAAGGATCCAGGCCAACACCTCCACTGGCCGCACAGTCCCTTGCAGGGATCCTCAAACTTTTTAAACAGGGGGCCAGTTCACTGTCCCTCAGACCGTTGGAGGGCTGGACTATAGTTTTTAAAAAACTATGAACAAATTCCTATGCACACTGCACATATCTTATTTTGAAGTAAAAAAAACAAAACGGGAACAAATACAATATTTGTATTTGCATGTGGCCCGCGGGTCGTAGTTGGAGGACCCCTGCTTCAGAGCCACCAGACGCTGACTTTCTGGACCTGAGACCTCACCTCCCACCTGCTGTGGCCGGGCCTTCACCGAAGCCTGAGATGTGGCTCGGTGCTCCTTGGTCCAGCCTCCCCCCAGGGCGGAGGGAGGCAGCACCATGCCTTTCAGCAGTCTCACCTGAGAAACCGCGGCCAACCAACCGCAAGAAGAACCTTCCGGACCCTTGGTACCAACTGGAGCCTTGCAAACTGTTCCCAGGATCCCTTTGAAAAAAAAACTGCATCTCTACCCAGAGGGATAGTGGCTAAGGCACTGAGAGTCCCGCTTCTCACCTGCCCAAAGCCCTCACGCTTTTCAAAGTTACCGCGTTAAAGGTTTAAAAGTCTGGTGTTTGAGCAGCTTCCCATCTCCTCCCCCAACACCATCTGTTCATAGTGGCTGCGTCTGGGAAGCCCCTGGATCGCGGACAACTCTGGGGACCCGGACTACGAACCCTTCCATTCCACCAGACCTCGCTTGGGGCAGCACGGAGGACACTCGATTTTAAATTTCAGATCACAACTTTGTATTCCTGCGGGCGGTGCCAGGCTTAACGTGGAGCTGTTCTTTGTTTTTGGCCGGTAGTACTGAGGAGTCGCAAAATTCAGGAACCAAAGGAATGCAGGAAACACCTCCCTCCCGACTTCCCTCGCTACAGGCGATGCCCAATAAGCCCCTTTACACTCTGAAAGTTCGTAACGAACCCCGGGACGAGCAGAGGAACCCGGGGGCCTGCGGGCCCGCCCGCACA